CCACACCCACACTCACATCCACACCCACACCCACACCCACACCCACACCCACACCCACATCCACACCCACACTCACACCCTGTCTATACAGCACTATTTGCGAATGAATTCATAGAAAGCTTACAAAACAGCAAAATCGACCTAATGAGCTGTATTTCAAATGCTGAAGATATATTGCAAGTGATGCAAATGATGAGAAATAAACCTGATGAAGAATATGTTTACTTAATTCAAGAAGCACAAGGTTTGGGTAAATATACGGAAATTGTCATAGAATGCCAAGAATCACCAAACGACAAGTATGAAAACTGAAATTAGCTTTGAGTGTTTACAGCATTTGATAGATTTTTTTATAGATCAATAGAAATAATATTTCTGCTTCTTCTGCATATGATTATTTCAAGTTGAATATTTTCATTCCTTTACTTGATCATTTTTTAGTAGCTATGAAAGATAGATTCAGTGAGCATGTCAAAAAAGCAGCAGCTATTTCATGTATTGTTTTAAAATATATTGTTGATAAAAGTTATAATGATTTAGCTCCGACTATTGAAATTTATAACAACTTTTTACCTGCTGGTTCAGATGTTCAAGTCAAATCTGAATTTCTGTTGTGGAAAAAACGATGGACGAATATTGTTACAGAAACTAGCTGTATTCCATTGTCACCTTCTTCATCTAGTAATACAGCCACAATCAAAATGAAACAGAAAGAAGAAATAGTTTTACCAGATACAGTAATCGATGCTTATGCTGTTTGTTCTGAAGCATTTTATCCAAGCGTAAAAATTTTGTTGAAAATCTTTGCAACTCTACCAGTGACAACTGCAGAAAGAACCTTCTCAGTTCTGAAATTACTGAAAACTTATTTACGTTCGACCATGTCAGAAACACGACTTAATGGTTTAGCTATGATGTATATTTACAGAGATGTAGATATAAATGTTGATACTGTGATTGATGAATTTGCTAAATCTAATCGTCGATTGATTTTTTAGACTTTACTGCTTATATTTATCTTGAGAAAAGCTGATTTTTGTTTCCATGATATCACAAACTTACTACACGAAAATAAAATAAGGAACTGGAAGAGAGCAAGCACTAATGTACTTTCGGAAAAAATTATACTGACTTGGATGATATAATTTAGAAAGTGCCACCCCCTCTCAAAAATCCTGGATCCGCCACTGTACTATAGATGTAGCTACAGTACAATATTTTTCTGAATGATAGCTTGGATGTTATTCTTGAAATATATATCTTCAAAAGCTGTCTAACTCTAAATTCTAAAAAAGATATTAAAAAAGTGCAAATAAAGTTTGGATCCGTAAAACATGCTTCAAATGCAGCGAGCGAGTGTGACTCACGAATGATAAACAACGGTTGGTATTTTCCAACCAAAAAGAAGTAGGAAGAGAAAAATAACCAGAAAATGAGTCTCACACTTTTTCATATAATAAGGTCCACGAAACCTAAAAAATCAACCAGGCGTAAGTTTAATTCTTTGATTGTGTTTGTACTATCGTAATTTATCGTCCTTGATGATCATTGATTCTTTTCACAACGATGAATCATCTTATACAACATGAGACGCAAGACTTGCAAAGTATGTAAGAAGAGAAAAATCACTGCATATTATTGATCATTGCATAAGCTGATAGTATGAGATAAATCATAGAAAATAATAACTCTTGGGCAGTTACGTATAGAATCTGAAGAATTTTATACAAAGTTGTTTATACATAATTCACCGTATCGCTTCATTTTGAAGGGTTTATTGTCTAGTAGCACTTTTGTAAAATGTGCTTTACGATTAAAAAATCGAGCAAACAATCGGGAAGACACTTCCTATGTTTATTTTCAACTTCGAAATTGCGTAAATATGCATGCACAACGTGAAGATCAGACAGAAAAGCAGAAAAAGAAAAAGAAAAAAATCAAACAGACAGTGGCACACTGTGTTTTTACGAGAGAAAAAATGAAACAGGTGACTAACGATGTTATTAAGCTTTTCTCGTTTGAGTTTTTTATTATGTAGCAGTTGTATTTTTTGTTTATAAATCGATGGCAACATAAGGAACGAATCCACAAGGCTTGGCTAGACTCAAGCCTACCCGAGATTCACATTTCATAGACTTGAATAGGCTCAAATTATCTTTTCGTCTTCCATTAGACTGATAGATTAGAATGGTGGATTCCATTTCTTGTACAATCGTCAGTAGTTTTCGTCGTTGTCGTCGGCTAATAATAACATTTTCTTAATCAAACAGACTTAAAGAAAAGGTTTTGAACAAACACTGAATTTCTATAAGTTAATATTGAATCGTACATTGACAATGTCTTGAAGTGAGGATCTTTCATAACCAATAAAGAAGAACTAGAGAGACAATTTGGGCTAGATTAACTCGAACCTGTTAAAGCGTCTCTTCACCCGCGGCGATAAACAGTACATGTCTATCAAACATTTTCAGCCGTTAGCAAACTGACAATGTAATATCTTTTTCGTGAATATTTCAGCTTCACGATTGGATTTTTTCCAATAAAGCAGATCTAAAACTCTTCTTTCAAAGGAAGCCTTTCAATGAAGATACATGTTCGCATGTTTCTTCAAATGTGCGTCTTTTCGATGTGGGTGTGGAGTGTGGGTGCAG